TACGTTGGTTGTGGGCACATCCCCAGTAGGGGGTGTGTAGGAGGCAGCTGGTCGATGTTTCTCTCTCATCAACGTTTCTAGCTCTCTATCTCTCTCCCTTCCTCTCTGTAAAGAAATCAATAAAATATATTTTTTAAAAAAGGGGGGGATTACTTAGTTCATTTCTATTTTCTTTGTGTGGTAGGAATATCTATTTCAACATGATTTTTTTTTTTGGGGGGGGGAGTATTTTTAAGTTGTTTTTAAAAACGAAAAGGAGATCAGACCATCTAGTGCTTGATAAATATAAAATCAAAGACTTCTGTCCATGGAGCTTTTCCAAAAAACAGGCAGAGATGCGTGAGGATCTTTTGTTTACTTTGCTGTGGCATGCGCACTGCCTTCCCCGGGTGCAGTAACCAGGGCTTGTCAACAGCCAAAAGAGCTCAGAACCACTTTGTTCAGTTTAATTGCTCTCTAAGCCGCTTCTGATATTTCTTTTATAAGAGTCTCTTTTTACTTAGTGTATATAAGTGTATGTTTATTTATTTAATCTGTGTTCATTTAGTGCATCTACAATAAAATCAAAATTGGATTTAAAGAATAAATTTTTAAAAATTAATAAAACTAAGAACCGTACAATTGGGCCAAGTCATGAATAAAGCAGGCATTTTATTCTTTTTCATTTATGCTTTCATCTGTTTTTATTAGTTATAATCTCCACAGTGAAACTATATATCCCATTAAATTTGATCAAAATAGTTCGACTGTTTTTGCTGTTGCTGTTTTTTAACCCAGGTGTCTGACTATAAATACTTTTCTACTTTGAAGGCATTATGTCTTTAATAAATTTCTAAGAATTATCACACAAGGTGTGAAATTAGGGAACATCATCTCCAATCCTGTCCTCGCTTATGCCACCGATGACAAATTTGGGGCTTCCCAAGACCACCCTCAGCATCGGTAATTTGCTTGAAGGGATCACAGAACTCACTGAAAACTGTTATAATCATGGTTATGGTTTATTAGGAAAGGATACAGATTAAAATGAGCCACAGGAGAGATGCATGGGCAGAGTCCAGGAGGGTTCCAGCAGTGGAGTGTCCAGTCATGCTCGCCCAACAGCAATGTGTGACAGCGTGCATTAAGTACTGCGAAACAGGGAGGGCCACCCTAGCCTTGGCATCCAGTTTCTTCACTGGAGTTTGATCACCAAAACCTAGTTAGTTACCTCAGTCTCCATCCCCTCCAAAGGTTAACTTATACCAGGTGATCCAAAGATTCCACCCCCGGATCACATTGTGGGTGTGGTTCAGAGCCCTCACCTTAAATCACATTTTTACTATCTGGCTGGCCCAATGCACCTGGGTAAACAAAGGCACTTGGAATGGGTGGACATTCCAAGGGCTTAGAGGTCACCTTTCAGTAGCCAAGGGCAAAGGCCAGACCTTTCTCTTGGTAAGGTTAACTCTATTAACACACAAGATCAAAATCAAGGTGCACAAATCCAGTGTCTGACTTTGACCAACACATCCTGGCCTGGTTGACTGGGGGACACAACTGGTACTCTCCACGTTATGGAATGTTAAGGTTGAAAGACGCATAATCCTTGACCTTCCCATTATTTATTAAATATGAGTTTAGGAAATAAAGCAAATAAAATAAAACGAAATGTTTTATCCTGGTTGTTATTTTTTCAGCATGTGATTTATTTCAGAATTAAAAGTTCTAACGCTTTAGAAAAACATGTTTCTTCCTTTTCCTTGTTTTTAAAGTTCCTCTTTTTGCTGTGATTGATATGTTTTAGTGGGTAGAGCATTAGCCTGACCACCAAAGGTTCTCGGGTTTGATTCCTGGTCAAGGGTACATTGCCTGGGTTACAGGTTCGATCCCCGGCCTCGGTGGGGCTTCTTCAGGAGGCAAACAATCAGTGTGTTTCACATTGATGTTTCTCCTCCCCTCCCTTCTTTCTACTCTACCATAAAATCAATGGAAAATTTAGCCTCAGGGTGAGGATTAACAATAAAAAATGTTCCTCTTTCAGATTTCAAGAGTTCACACATTCTTGACATTTCATCAAGAAGTATTTTTTTTATCTTATCCATTTTCTTTATGATTCTAGGTCTATGACTCCAGGCCTAACCTTTGCACAAATCTAGCTTTAAAATTTCAGAATTTTTCTAATCCATTTTTTGTCTTTTTGTAAGCCACTATCCCTCAGCAGTTGAAAAAAAAAATGTTTAAAAGATCTTTATTCTCTTTTAATCTTTGGACATCCTCCATGTTTGTGTCCTAAGCAAAACATAAACACTTCTACTTTTTATCCTACTATTGTCCTACCATTTTAACTTTAAGAATTATTTAGGGTATACCGGTAGTTTGAGGGATTTGTTATCTGATGATAGCAAATAGTCTCTCTGTGGCTCCCTGACCTTGTGAGATCTAAGAATATTCCAGGGAGCACTAATTTTGAGGAGACAGAACAAATTAAGCTCATACCATAAAATAAGCTACATACACAAAGGGATTTTTGTTAAAAAACAAAAATAAAAATTAAATATATATATAGATTGATTTCAGAGAAGAAGGGAGAGGGAGAAACAGAAACATCATGATGAGAGAGAATCATGGATCAGCTGCCTCCTTCACACCCTATACTGGGGATGAAGCCCACAATTCCAGGCATGTGCCCTGACCGGGAATCGAACCGGGGACCCTTGAGTCCAAAGGCTGACACTCTATTCACTGAACCAAATTGGCCAGAGCACACACAGGGATTTTCTCCCTACTTTTACAGGGCCTATGACTGACACATAAAGACAATACATATTTGCTGTGCCAAAACACTGCTTTCAAAAAGTTAAAAGCCTAACCTTTGCACAAATCTAAAGCAAGATTTATTGAATTAACTAATGAGAGAAACCAGCAATGTGGTAAAATCAGTTCTAAGGCAGGCCCTGAAAGACTGCTAGGTTAGATTGTAAAAATGGCTGCTATCATCCAGGCAATAAAATTGTTACTATGGGCTTATCTTTTCTACCGCCCCCAAATCATTTTCATTTCTACTTCGATAATCCACATGCATAGCTATAGGACCAGAAAAGCCTTTGTGTAACAAGCTGTGAGGACCATTGCCTCAGCGGGTCCCAGTTCTGGCAATCACCCTGCTCACTTTGAACTTGTGCCTAGTTATTGACCATTCTGGGTCCCCCTCCTCAACATGTGTGTTCAAGCGATAGGCTTCGTGATAAATTCCCCAGTTTTCCCCTTTCCTCCCTTCTGTTTGACCCAGTTCCCTTTAAAATACCAAGTGATAGTGTTTCCCGACTGCCGCAAGCTCCCCTACCCATGACCCTCAATAAAGGCACACGGCCCTGGCTCTGCAATTTCGCTGCCTGCAATGGCCAAAATTTGAACTTTGGATGAAGGGCTGCCTACATATATGTCTGGTGCCTGTGCTGGGATGCTGGCCAGAGAATCCACATGTGGCCTCTCTCTATGGTATAGTGAACTCAGAGTGTTGGACTTCTCACATGGTGACTCAGGGGTCTAGGCACAGGATTCTATCAAGTGAGGCAGAAGCTGCATCACCTTTGATGACAACCTCAAAAGGCACATACTTCCAAGTACTCTGTTGGTCAAAGTGGTCAGAAACCCATCTAGATTCAAGGAGAGAGAGAGAGGATAGATGTACTATTTGGTTGGAAGGTGGCAGGGTCATTTCATGGAGAGGGATGTGGGCTAGGAAACATTGTTGTGACATCTTTGGGAAATAGAATTTGCCACATTACACTGTATAATGAAATATATTTTATAGACCTCAAGATTATTTTCTTGCAGTTGAGCTATTGTTACTGCTTTGCATTGAGCAAGTCAGATGCAATTTTCTTTGTGATGCCTTTTCTTTTACATTTTTCCTAATGTTGCATTTTCTTAGTTTGGGTTCATTACCTCACAGATAAAGCTTTTTAAATATTTAAGCGATCCCCAGTTTCCAAATCGTTTTCTCAGGTGCCCATCAATTCCCCGCAAGTGGTTAATTTAAAAGGTTTTTGAAGCATGACTGCATCTGGCACAGGCAAATCCAAATGTCAACCTTGGAAGCATCCAGTGACTTTCAGATGATTCCTTTCCGTATAAGGAACTCGTTTTCTATCATGAAGCTTATCTTGTGAAAAGAGGACAGGAACAGTGCCTTTCCCACTCACCATGTTTAGTGTGGAGAAACAGCTGCCCCCCCAGAACATGCGAATTTGTTTCACTCCCAATTTCCCCATCTAGCTGTGTGAAACTGAGGATGAAAATCCCTACTTTGCAGAGTTGTAATAGGGAAATCAAAGAAGCTTCTGACGTAGGGCATGCTTCATTGTAAGAGCCAATGGTAGCTAATAATAGGAGCTATCTTTACATTTTCTGTGTCCATACATCCTTTCAATGTAATAAATCTTGGTCAAGCTCTTTCGGTGGGTGTGCTGGTTTCACTGGACAGGTCAGTGGGGAAGTGTCCACACTGAGGATGATCTTTGAAGAAAGTGACTTCTTCTTAACGGTTGGGCAGTGGCAGCAAAACCTTCTCTTGAGAGCCATGATGAAGGTAACTTCAGGAGCTTGAGGTTAACAGAAGGCATCCTTTTTAAAAGGTGGTTAACCTTCATGGATGTTGATTGGGTTGATAAAAGAAGTAAAAACAACAACAACAACAACAACAACAACAACAAAAAAAAACGGTATTCAAATAAAATGTCCCTTGCCTGCCCACCACAGAATAGTACTCACCTTATTGTAAAATATATGCATAGTTAGTAAGATGTAATAAAACTTTGAAATATAAGTTATATAAGAGGAAAACACAAAATGTAGGATAGAATTTTCTTCCGTCCCTTGGGGTTTCGTCATTTAAAAACCCTTTTTAATCTCCAATTGTTGTAATGGCCATTATAAAGATTAAAACTGTTTACTGCATTGTTTGAACCTGTGAGAAAGCCTTAATTGACTTGAATTTGTTGTCTTTCATGTGGCAGGTGGTGAAGTTTACCAAATCCTTTGAATTGCTGTCCCCAAAGTGCAGTGCCGAAGCTGAGAACAGGTAGGGCGTGTGAGTTCCAGGTTTGTCTTTTGATTCTTGTGTTCTGTCCTTGGGGTTGGCAGCATTGCATATATTTCTTGAGGAGAGGAGTTATTCTTTTTTTAAACCAGCAAGTACAGCCAAATATCATCACTGTTCTGTCCTTCAGGCTTAAACAAAAACATGTGTATAATTTAAAAGTATATGTGTATGAATGAAGTCAATTTTTAGATATTTCCTAACTACACAGACAAGACTATTTTTCTGCTTTATTCTGTCCTTCATTTCTCTTCCTTTTTTGTTTCCTTATATCTGGGTAATAGCATCCCTTGGGGAAAAGGAATGAGAGTTTCTAGTCATTCACGTTTTTGTCTCTAATGTATCTTTGAGGTTCTAACAGGCTAAAAGTAAGGATTGGGAACAATGAGTGACTTTCTGTTAGCTTTGCACCGCCCTGAATAATAGCTAGGCTGCTACAAAAATGTATTCTCTTTATTTTTGTCATCTCTAGAGGAAAGGCTCATAATAGTAAAATTGACCAAAATGCAGAAATATGGAGAAAGACAGGTAAAGTGCTCAGGACAGCATGATGATGATAATGATGAAGCTGATACTAATGTTAGCAATGCAGCCTTCATTTGTTGAGTGCTAAGTACAGCAGGTACTAATCTAATCCCCAAATAATCCTGGGAAGTAGGCATTGTACCCTTGCATGACAGAGGAGAAAACCAAGGTTGAGAGACTATCTACTGGGTTAATATTTCCCAAATCTTGCTCATCATTTAGAATCAAACTTGGAGAACTTGGTAAAAACTAAATTCTCAGGACCCAAACCGAGACATTTTGATTCACTATGCCGAAAGTGAAGTCCTAAAGATCTATGTATTCAAAAGGCTCCCTGGGTAATGCCTGTTTCAAGGGTAATTTGATTTTATACATCATTGCCTTTGAGTTCAGAAATAGAAATCAGTAAATTAAAATGGACACTTTATTCAGTTACTTCACTTTTCATCGAGCGCATGAAGTTTAAAAGAAGCCTTTGTTACATACTGTAGAATTCCATTTGCAGGGCATGCCTAAGAGTAGAAAGCAAGCCAGGAGTTGTTAGGAGCTGGAGACAGGGGTTTACTACGAAGTGGTACGGGGGATTTTGGGTTGTGATGAAACTATTCTATATTTTGCTAGTGATAGTGGTTGAGCATCGACGTATGAACCAAGAGGTCACAGTTCGATTTCCAGTCAGGGCACAGGCCCAGGTTTCAGGCTCCAGGTTCGGGCTCGATCCCCAGTAGGGTTGTGCAGGAGGCAGCCGATCAATGATTTTCTCTCATCATTCATGTTTCTTTCTCTCTCTCCCTCTCCTTCTCCCTTTCTTTTCCTTCTCTGAAATCAATAAAAAAAAAATTTAAGAATAAGTGGAAAAAAAGGGTAAATTTTACTGTCTATAAATTACAACTTTAAAATGGGAAACAGAAACCTTTTTAAGACCTTTTTATTTTTTGTATTTATGTTTAATTCTATATATAATGTTACCTAATCTATACCTAAAATATATTTATACATAGAAAATTACTGATGGTTTATACAGCAATTTTCCTAAAATTTTAATGTAAAAATCATTAAATATATTGGGAAAAATATCTATTCATGCTTACTCCTTTACCTAGTCATGGCCTCAAATAAGTTATCTCTTTCATATATGAGGGGGCAAAGCTTTATGGAATTATTAAAACACATTTAAAGTCCTAATACTTCACTGTTGTTCTTTACTATGCTGTTGATTGTATCCTCATAGTCACTGCAGAGTTAAATATTCTTGGTCTTTTGATTATTTTTAATGCCCAAAGGACTGCCATGTCCAAATGAGATGACCCAAGGCCCAGACTGCCCTTGGCAAACTTTCTAATAATAAAGAAAGAAAGGTCAGATTGTCTTTTAAGAGACATTTGAAAAGTGCCTTTGAACTTTGACATTATGAGATAGTCCTCTTAATCATTCTATTTATGGCCTTTAAATTAATGTAGAATGTTCATTTATCTCAGAAGACCTTTCTTGCATTGTCTAGTAATTTTCCTCTTGTAGATATGGGATCCTTCGGTCATTTGTTGGGAGTTAAAGGGAAAAAGACAAGTGGCTTTAGCATTTACTTCGCCAGTGGCCATAGAAGAGACATTGAAATAGGCTGTTAGTCTACAAATCACAGCGTGCTCTCAACACCTTGTAAATCTCTCCTTAAACTTTCATCACTTAACATCTTCAATGTAGGTAATGTTCATTGGATACATTAGTCCTCTGGTTAGTGCCTGTGGCTTCATTCACCAATGTGCTAGGGTACCATTTCAATTCTGATGAACTCTTGTTTAAGGCTTGCTGAGTTTTATATGGTCCTTGAAGACTTTTCTAAAAACTGGTTTTGTTAATAAAGAGATATTTTCTATAAATTCATTTCTGTTTATTTTCTTATGTGACTAGCTTCTTTGTCATGCCCAGTTTCCTTTTGGTCTCCATATAAGTAATACCAAATCCTAAACCATGGCCGGGTAGCTCATTTCATGAGAGCATCAGCTTGATATGCTAAGGTTGTGGGTTCAATCCCAGGTGAGGGCACATACAATAAGCAACCAATGAATGCATAAATTGCTTGCTGACTGTATGTGGAACAGTAATAATGTTTCTCTCTCTCTCTCTCTCTCTCTTTCTCTCTCTCTCTCTCTCTCTCTCTCTCTCTTTCTCTCTCAAATCAATAAACAAAAAGTAATAAATAAATAAAATCCACGACAATTCCATCAGTGATAAGATTAAATTATCATATCATAATGGGCTTCTTCCATTGATAGGGAGTTCTGATTGTTAAAAAGGCAATTGAATTACATTTCTACAACTTTCATTTGTTTGTTCTAAATTTGTCCATTGGAAATCTTTATTCTTTGGTTAACGTTATTTCTTCATTCACTAGTCATATATTCAGTACCTACTCTGCTGGGTACTCTGATAGTTAATGGGGCTATAGAGAATTTAAAATATCAGCAGTCTCAGTCTTCAAGGATCTCAAGGCCAATTTACATGGGTGAGAGTAGGTTAAGAATATAATATAAGCATAACCAGATTTGCCTGGCCTCCAGACCATGGCTACAGAGTCCCATTAACAGTGATAATGAATACTTGGCTGTTTGGTCATTTTCTGCTTATAGTTTAAGACTCCACAGTCCCTTGCCAAAGCCACTCTGAAAGTAGTTCTGAGAATCCCTAAGATTAAAAACAAAACACACACACAAAAAAAACAGTTTTATTGCTCATTCATCATTTCTTCCAAGTGCCTACCCGTATGTCCCCTCCCTCTAGACATGGCAAAACAGCATCTGCTGGGCTTCCTTGACCACTCCAGAATTCCTGTGGGCATAACTGGACTCCTCACCAGTATTGTGTCCCCAGAATTATCTCCAGTGCACTAGTGACCTTTCCAAACCTGAGCAAGACTGGGTAATTTGTGCAAAAGCAGGAAGAAAGCTCACTTTCCCTACCATGCATTTCAGTTTGTTGCATGGCCACAACACAGCCCTTTTGTTGAGCTCACTTGCAGGAGATAATGGCATTTCACCTGTTGCTTTTAAGATTTTCTGTTTGTAACTGGCTTTCAACAGTTTGATCAGGATGTGTTAGGTATGGATCCCTTAAGTATGAGTTTATCCTACTAGGAGTATGTTGAGCATTATGAATGTATAGATTAATGTTTACTTTAATCAAATATGGGAAGTTTTCAGCCATTATTTATTCAAATATTATTTCTGCTCTCTTTCCTCCTGTTATGCATATATAGGCTTGGGGTGTCTCACATATCTTTGAGACTCTTCCTTTTTATGTATTTAATTTTTCTGTTCCTAAATCTAGGTATTTTCAGTTATCCTAGCTTCAAGTTTGATGATTCGTCATACTGGCTTCTGCTGTTGAATCCTCATAGTGAATTTTTCATTTCAGTGATTACACTTTTTAATTCCAGATCTATTACTTGGTTCTTTTTCAAAATAATTTCTATCTCTTATTAATATTGCATATTTGGTGAGACACTATTATCACATTTTCTTTATGTTTTTTGATATGATTCTCTTTAGTATTTTTAACAATTTATAGTAGCTAATTTAAAGTCTGTGTTTAGTTTGGGCTTCAGGGACAGTTTCTTTTGACTGTGTATGGGGTGCGAGGGTGGGAGTGGATCACTGCATTTTTCCTGTATATTTTCTAATTTCTTTGTACAGCTCATTTTTTTTTTTTGGTTGAAAACTGAATATTTTAAATAATATAATGTGGAAACTCTAGAAATTAAATTTGTTCCTCACTCCATTTAGGGTTTGTTGTTGTTTCTATTTATTGCTGTTTGTTATTTAGTGACATCCCTGAACTATTATTTCTTGTGGTGTGGCAACTGAATTCTCTTCTTGGTTAGCTTAATTGTCAGCTAATGACTCAACAGAAATTTTCTTGAAAGCTTTGAGCCAGTAAATCTTCTAGCCTTGCTGAGGAGATCTATGTGCATCTGTGGAATACCTTCATTTTTTTTTTTTTTTTTTTTGACAGAAAGTTCACTTAGCTTTCACTTTCAGAATTTCACTTACAGAATTTCAAGGTCAGCCAGAGTTGAGAGATTAAGGCCTTTCCTGAGCATATTTACAACTCTACTGTGTGCATGCCCTTCTAGATTTTCAAAAATATGTCAGAGCTTTTCAAAAACCCCTAGGAATATTTTATTCTCCTGCTTCTTTTATTTTTCTGGTCAGCTTCTTGTCAGTTAGCTGCTGCAATGTTACGCCTGCCTAAGGCAATTGCTGGGTTTCTGGGTTCTAATCCCCACAAATGCCCTAGGGATAAACTCTGTTCTCCATAGGTCAGGTGGAATAAAGGCAAGCTCTGTGAGTGGAAATTTCCATGGAGCTGCCAGACAGGTCAAATAATGACAGTTATGTGGGGATAGGACTGGTGGGGAGCTCCAAATCAGTTTTCTCTGTGCCAGTGGCTACTAAGCTGCT